GATCGCCTTGTGCTCTCCCACCTCAAAGACATCACAGACCCTCTCCTGGACCCCCTGCAGTTCGCCTGCAGAGCCAACAGGTCTGTAGACGATGCTGTCAACCTGGCCCTCCACCTCATCCTCAAGCATCTGGACTCAGCAGGAACCTACGCCAGGATCCTGTTTGTGGATTTCAGCTCTGCTTTTAACACAATAATCCCAACCCTGCTACAGGACAAGCTCTCCCAGCTGAACGTGCCTGACTCAACCTGCAGGTGGATCACAGACTTCCTGTCTGACAGGAGACAGCAGGTGAAGCTGGGGAAGCATGTCTCGGACAGCTGGCTCCCCTCAAGGCTGCGTTCTTTCTCCTCTGTTCCTCTCCCTGTAAACCAACAGCTGTACCCAACAGCTGTACCTCCAGTCATCAGTCTGTCAAGCTCCTAAAGTTTGCAGACAACACCACCCTCATTGGACTCATCTCTGGTGGAGATGAGTCTGCCTACACTTTGGAGCTTGACCATCTGGTGACCTGGTGCAGCGAGAACAATCTAGAGCTTAATGCTCTGAAGACAGTGAAGATGGTTGTGGACTTTAGGAAAAACGTAGCTGCCCCCAGCCCCATCACCATCGGCAACTCCACGGTGTCTACTGTGGAGTCTTTCCGCTTCCTGGGGACCACCATCACCCAGGACCTCAAGTGGGAGCTGAACATCACCTCCCTCATCAAGAAAGGACAGCAGAGGATGTACTTCCTGCGGCAGCTGAAGAAGTTCAACCTGCTAAAGACCATGATGGAGCACTTCTACACCGCCATCAAGCCCATCCTCTCCTCCTCCATCACAGTCTGGTACGCTGCAGCCACAGCAAAGGACAAGTGCAGGCTGCAGGGTATCATCCGCTCTGCAGAGAAGGTGATTGGCGGCAATCTACCACCTCTCCATGACCTGTACACCACCAGCTTTATGCAGCTTTATTTCCCTTGTTAACTGTTTTTGCAACAAAACACCAAGACAAATTTCTTGTATGTGTAAATGTAGGATTCTGATTCTGATTCTGATTTTGATGGCTTGTGTAAGGAGTGGGATTATTCAAAACTTAGAAACACTCTCCTTTTTTAAATGAGAAATAGTAATAATTTGGCACCTTTTCGTCATACTGATTACAACTGAGGAGATACTCTATATATAAAACAACTAGTAATCACAATTTTTGCCCACATGTTAACAGTTGAACACTGGGGGGCAGTAGTGGGTAGCTTGTGGTGGTGGTTATCACGGACTGATATTGCTCCTTTGAAGGCAGAGATGAGTGGGATCTTTTGGCAAAGGTCCGAAGAAGTGTATGTCTTCTTTACTCCCATGAATGATCTAAAAAGGAGATAAAAATATTCAGAGGCATTGTATTGCATTTGTATTTCAAATGTTAAGGAAGTGAATGTACAACTTAGGAAAACAGTGATTGGTTGCATGAGATGGGTGCTGTACCTTAGCGGTGCTGCTTCTGGGATTGAACCCCAGACCTGCTCCTGACAGCTGATCGTGCTGACAAAGTCCTCGAGTGTCATCAGACTTTTCAGGCAGGAGTTCATGTAACAAAATAATGTATAAAAGCCACATCCATTACTCTGTCTGGCCACCAAACACATGTACACATTAATTTAGGATCTTGTATCCTTTAAAGATCCCATATTGTACTCATTTTCACCTTTCATGATGTCAGTCTGTGAAACCTATTGAGTAGCTTTGCATGATTTGCAGCTCAAAACACTTCTTAATCATCTTATACTGGCATTTGTCTCTTAAAGGCCCCCTTCCCCACATCCACTTTTTCTTTGGATATGCCAGCTCTCTGAAAGTCTTTGGGGGGGCAGGGTTGCCAGAGGAGGGCTGCTCTTGTGTGCTGGTAGATCAGCCAATGAAAACAGCATTGGCAAACTGACGGCCTGGGTTCAAGTCTGACTCTAAGCTTCTGCATTTCATTCCCCACCCGCTCTCTATCCAATTTCCAGTTCTATTCACTGTCCTGTCAAATAAAGGCATACACAAGCTTTCAAATAAATAGTTGAATACCTTCAGTTTTATATGAAGCCATGTATTTTTACTTTTCTATGTAAGAATGAAATAAAACAGCAGACACTAAATGAAGATTTTTTAATAAAAAAGACGACTTAACATGATGAGTCTGACAACGTTTCTATCTTTTTTGTGAAGTTACTAACACTTTAACAGAGACTTAAAATTAAGAGCTGAGTTTACAGTGGAATTGGTTTCATTACAGGATGAGTAATAATGAACAGATTCAGAAGCACAAAAAACCCTGTTTAGCCATTCTGATCTTCAGCGTTTTCTTTGCAAACGATGCACATTACAAAGAATAGAATAGAATGTCTTTGTCATTATACAATGTACAACGAAATTATAAGAATACAAGCTTTAAGTATAATAAGCTAAATGAAACCGTGCATAAAAAATGAACATACTGGTGACGTGCTAATTCAGGTGTGACACTGGATTCTTCTTACTTCGGGGACAGAATCCTAAGTGAGGCCCCTTTGGAGACCATGAACCCAGGGTACAGAGGCTGGGAGAAGTTGGTCTGGACTCTGTGAAGGAGGCTCATTTGACCAGAATCAGACAGGCTGTTGAAGGACAGAATCCCAGCCTTGTGGTTGAGATACACTCCTACATTAGAGGAGCATGGTTTGGATACTGTGGTCTTGATTCCCTCGTGCCAAAAGGTGCAACCAGAACTTGAAAGGGAAATGCACCAAGACCGATCTGTGAATCCAAATCCACTTTCCTCCAGCTCTGCCCCTTTATAACACATAGCGAGCTCAACCCTGGTACCCCGCCATTCAACCTCAAAGTAGCAAACTCCAGATAGACCTTCAGAGCCCAGCACCTGATCATACTTGGTAAATCTATCAGGGTGGTATGGATACTTCTGGGCCTTTCTAATCCAGGTCACTCTGCTGTTGCCCTCAGAGAGGAGAAGGTTTTCAAAGGCTGTGTTGGGATCCAGAGTGAGGAGGCAGAAATCTGAAATGTAGAGGTAATATTCATGCTGATGAATAAAGTAAACTGAATAGCAGAGAATGGTCATAAATACTTATGCTGCACTAAAGACTTACAAAGGCAGAACTCCTGTCTTGTCTTCGGATCAGGATCAGTTTGAACTAGAAAAATAAACATGAAAACATATTTTTTTAAACTATTTTTTTAAGAATATCACATTTGAAGATGTAAATATTTACTTTATAAAGTGTTTACTGACTTGCTTCAGAAATGTCATCAATAGCTTTTCTCAGGTTTTCCATTGTGTTTTTCAGAACAGAACTGGCCTTTGTCACAAAGTCAAAATTGGTGTGAAGATCAATGTTTGAATCAGAGCCACATCAGTTTGTGGACAGTCAAAAATGTCCTTGCAGCTCTAAAGACATGGAGACAGAAAATGATTTCATGATCTTCATTCTACCATACTAATTATTATCGATATATGTGTCCCTGTACCTGCAGGAAATGAATGTGATCCTCAGTGAGAGACAGCTGCCTCAGGTCATCCTCTCTTTTCCTCAGCTCAGAGATTTCCCTCTCCAGCCGCTCCTCGAGGGCCTCTGCTCGGCTCGCCGCAGCCTTCTCCTGGACTTTTATCATCTCCTTAACAGCACAACGCCTGTTACCCGCCAACTGGACCATTTCATTGTAGGCTCTCTCGTTTTCATAAACAGCTGCATTTGCAAAACTCTGAAAAATTACAGAAATTGACAACTTTAAAGGAAAGGGACACATGACACATTAATAACATTCAAGTCAGCTAACAAAATGTGCAGGATAGTTCACCTGCAGCTCTTTCACTTTCTGTCTCAGCTGTCGCAGTTTTTTCTCTTTCTCCTGAATTCCCTGGTGGAAGCTTGGTTTTCTCTTTTCAAAATGTTTCTGGAAATACAATCAACATTAACCTAATTATTGCAGCAATATGAGTAAGATAATTTCAGCAGGACACTTGTAAGCCACTAGCTGAGGCCAAAAAAAGAAATACTGCCTTACTTGTCTCTCTTTCCTCTCTGCTGCAGCTGAGACAGTGTTGTGACCCTTGTGCTCATCCATCACACAAAGCAGACAAATGCACTGGTCATCAGAGCGGCAGTAAACTTCAAGCAGCTTGTCGTGCTTTGAGCAGATCTTCTCTTGCACGCAGGTGACTTCCACCAGCTTGTGCTTTTTGAAAGCAGCAGACTCGTAGTGGGGCTGCAAGTGAGTGACACAGTAGGAAGCCAGGCAAACAAGGCACGACTTTACAGCTTTGAACTTCTTCACTGTGCAGAAATCACACTCGACATCCCCTGGGTTAACTGCATCATTCTCATGAGGGCTGGCTTCCATTGTCTCCGTCATTTTCCCCACCAGATCAGTCAGCACTGTGTTCTTGTTCAACACAGGCCTAGGGAGGAAGGTGTGTCTACACTGGGGACAACTGTAAACACCTTTGTGGTCCTCCTGGTCCCAGTAGCATCTCACACAGTCCATGCAGTAGCTGTGGCCACAAAGCAGAGTCACAGGAGTCTTCAGGATATCCAAACATATTGGGCAGGACAAAGGACCTGGCTCCTTACAGCTCTCTGCCATTTTCCTGACTGCAACATCTCACTTTCACTTTCTCTGAAATGGGAGTGACTTGTGCTTTATTTTTTCTAGCCACTAAAAACGTTGTATAGTCAAATTCACGTAATTCTAAGTTTAACTTAAATCTGACACAACTAGCCTACCTATACATTAAATGTTTTAAAATGTAGCCTATAATATGCCTACCAGTAAACATATTTATTTCCCGTTGGATTAACAATATTTGTTTTTGTGGAGTAAAAAAAAAAAGTAAGACTTTCGTTAATGATACATTGTGTCATACTTACACATCTTAATATATCTTAATATACAAACGACGTAAGGATGTTATGGAACGAGGAAACCAGCGGAGACACTTGCGAGATTTGAGCAGAACGCGAGATTTCTGTGGTTTCCTAGGAGACGGCGGCAGCGTTTGGTATCTGTGCATTGAGAGGAAAAGAGGTGGTGTGTTCAGTTTTCTGGCGATGTTTGTGTTAGCAGAGAGCGTTTTACAATATGGAGATGCCGGACACGATGAGAAGACGATTGGAAGACTTTTCTCGAAACGTTTTATTCGACCAGAGCCGGACTCAAGCCATCACAAAAGAGAATGACACGTTTTTGCCTTACGGTAAACTCAGACAGCAGCTGATGTAGCCGACTGGCAATGGCGATCTTCTTAACGTAGCTAGCTAACTTTCGATGGCAAGCTTAGTCTCAGGCATGATTTTAGAGCATCTATCGCTAAAATGTAATTGTTATGCCCATAAATGGTTGTTGTTTTTCTAGTTTCAGACAAACGGGTTCTGTCAGGTCTCCACCTCCAGATGTCTCTGTACTTCAACATGTGGTTCTTCCCCCTGTGGTGGATCAGCGAAACTATAATGCTGCACCTCAAGGTAAAACACCATCAAATGTGTCTTAGTTGTTCCCAAAACGTCATTTAAGTTTGAAATGCAAAATTGGTATTAATCAGCAAAAATAACCAAAACAAAAGCTACCCTGCCGGCCACTGGGGCACAGGGACAGTGGGTCTTATCAGATCAAAAATATTGCAAAGATCCCCATAAAAATGGTGAGGTGACAACTTTGGTTTATAGTCAGTGATAAGTGGCTTTCTCGTGTTTCGTTGACCTTTCTGTCCTGCATTTAGTGGCAAAAAAAAAAACCAAAACAAAACAAAAACATTCACCTTTTAGTGCCTGCACATTTTGCCCATTGCCTCTTCTTCCTGGCTTGGGAGAAACAAACACACACAACACCCTTTGTCCGAACTCCCCAGATCTATTAAAAGCTTGAATAAATACTCATAGATTTACCCTACAGTTATTAAACTGAATCCTATAGCCGCAACAAAATGGTAACAAATAAACAACGAAATGTAAAATAATTTAATTATAAAAATGTAAATAGCTCCAACACATGATGTTAATGAATAGCATTAAGACGACCTGTGCAATTTAATAACATAACAAACAAAAAAAAAACGCTCTACCATAAATTAAACTTTTATGAAGCTTCTACATTTTCAGTGTGTGTTGACATGGTCAGAAAGAGGTTAATTGTACTCATTATTTATTATTGAAGTCATAGTGGGTGGTGGTGTACTGTAGTGCATTACATTTCCAAGTGTTCATAATAGTTTCCTCCCCACATGTATGTTCATTTGTGGGCAAAATATTCTGAAAACTTGTTAATATATTGCACTATATTGACCATGTCTCATTTAACACTTTGCTGTTCATTTTCATTTTATTCCAGTATCCTGCCTTGCCGGACTACTACAAGTTCATCCTTGTAACTGTTCTCATACTGATGACCCTGATTGAGGCCATTAGACTTTTTCTTGGTTATGCTGGGAACCTGCAAGAAAAGGTAGTTCATCACTCAAGCCACCCTTAAGAAATACTTGAGTGGGAAAACATACACAAAGAAAGGAAATGGCAAAATGTGTAACTCCTGTAATGTCTGTGTTTGTGAAAGGTTCCAGAGTTGGCTGGATTTTGGTTGCTGAGTATCCTGCTTCAGTTTCCACTAATCCTGTTTCTGCTCTTCAATGAAGCCATTCTCATACAGCCACTGGAGAGGGCCGTCCACATAGTTCTAGCATTGTTTATATTATCACAGGTATGAAAAAACTCTTTTGACAAACTGGCTTTTGTAGTCCTACTGTTTCCAATCAAAGCAAAGTTTGTATCTAATATCTTCTCTCCTGGTCTGAACAGGCTCTCTCTGGTTTTGTGGCACTCCGGGACATGGTCAGACACACAGAGAGCCAGTTTCATCTCAGACAGTTTCACTGAATTCTGAAGCTTTGGAGTTCCTACGACATCTAACAAACCGCAAAACAAGTGTACATCACTCCTCCCAGCCTGAGAGGCTTACATCAAAAACTTGACAAGTACATGAGATGTTTCTGCATTACAAAACACACAAATGTCTCATTTGTGTGTAAATGGATGATGGATTTGTGTGTCCTATGGATGTACATTGACACAATATTTCTCCTCATGTTCCAGTGTTTTCTTGTTCTTTTTTGTAGTTTTAACTTAATGTTACCTGATTACTGACCTGTAAAAGTGTTATTAAACACTTTTTTTTTTTACATTTTTTATTATGTTTTGGAGTATGATTATTCAACAACCATCAATTAAAACATGTAAAAGACAAGCACAGAGAAACATTTCCTTTGATTTTATCCAGAATTTAAAGGCTCTATTGTAATTGGTGCACTTGCTACGGAAGCCTGATTGTTTCTGAACCTCTCCTTCTGTTTTTCACTACAAGAATTAGGGAAGCTAAAACTGTGAGATAAAAAAGCAGGCTGGCTGCAGACCACCAACTTATGAGAAAAAACTTAATGTGAAAAAATCTGCTTCTGTTCCTCCAGAAGCTAAATTCCAACAAACTTGACAGATTGTTTGTTGTAATGAATAAATCAATTGTTTGTTGAATTCTGTCAAACCACGAGTCTACTTTGATTTTCAGTGGCTTGCTATAATCAATACTGTATTAATTATAATTTTCTTTAAGCAAATGTCCCAAAAAAAGTAACAAGACAACTAATATTAGCAGAATGATGTGGGATTTAATTAAAGTTGTATTGCCAGTATTTTTACCATTAAAGTATTATATATGTAATGGACAAAAACACTCCAGTTGTGCACACTTATTCTCACTGTATGGTCGTATTTTTGTTCCTGTCAATTAAATAAGAAGACAAGACAAACTGTTTAAATGATTCCATTTAATGCTGCTTGCAGTTTTAATTAAACAAGGATTTCCATTTGATTTTTGGGGGGCGCGGACCGTGTTGATCTTGGGTCAGCTGCCCCTTGTGTTGTTGAACTAATGTGGCGATGTCTTCCAGAGGGATGGTGCCTGATGTTAGACTCCCGCTTACTGAGGGTGTCTGTCTGTGATGGTGGAAGCTCCAACTGTGAGAGGCCTGCAGGTTTTAACACAGGAGATATCAAACCCATGTGCCTTTTGTCTCTGAAATGCCCTCTGTTTAACCTAAGGGAAGTGAAAAAACGATCAATGTTATTATTATTTTATTATTAAGGTTATCTTTTTACTGCACAAAGATCAACACTTATGACCTTACTTAGATCGTCAATGGCAACCTGACCATTAAGCAGAGAAAGAGAATAACAGAGAGCACTCAAAAGGTTTAAATGTGAATTTACCCTTTCCCTCTAAGGTCTTTGCCCCTCTGCACAGGCACAAATAAACTGCTGTGTGATTCTGCGTCTCTCAGGTGGGTGTCAGGGCTGGGATCACTCTGGTTCTCCTCTCCATATTTTGACACGGACAATCCCTCTGAAAAAAATGATAAGATCAGGAGGAAGATTAAACAGGAAGAGGTGAGCATAGCAAACAGTGTTTTGTACAGAAAAAATAATGCAACTCTATCGCTACAATAAATCATTTTAATTTAATCTGTAAGTAATGCATATTGCACCTTCTGAGGAATTCTCGTTCTTTTCCTCGTTCTGCTTGTTGGTCTTGGTTACACCTGCATGTGAGGAATCCTCCGGAAAAAAGTAAAGTTCTGAGGTTCTCTCGCTGAAAAGGGACTTGCTGTTGAACTTGGGAGTGGTAAAACTTGAAAGCAAGTTAATGTCTGGAATCTTCTGGATATGCATGGGGGGAGACCTGGCAGGGAACAGACATAACAATTACCATCTCTATAACACCTCAATATGCAGTTACAAACTATTCGATGATATTTCAATCAATTAATCAATCTTTATTTTGTAGCAACATTTATCTCAAGTCACTTTACAAAAAGTGTAGACCTTACTCTTTGTTATTCTATTCACAAAGATCCAACACTAATCCACCATGAGCACAGCACTAAGCAACAATATAAGGGATGTTTACCTTTGAGGTGATTGAAGGGAAGGTTGCAGCCCTGAAAGAGCGAGGCACATTTCAATACAAAAGAGCTACACTTTGAGGCTGGCTTGAATTTCAGAGAGATGATTCATTGGTTTATTTTTCATGGACAAACCTCTGTGGTCTCTACGGGAGACTAAGGATGGTCGACGGCCCTGATGGGCTTGCAGACTGGATTGTGGTGAAGATTGAAGGTGAGGACTGAGATGCAGTAGCTGAGTGCAGCATCTCCACTGTTGTGTATTGATCACCGGGACATCTACAACAGCAAGCCAAGCATAGCGATCAACGCCATGTGTCGGATATTTGGAAATCAAAGGCAACATGATTAACCCTGTAACCTACATCAGAATGCTGTGGAATAATCTAAAAACATTTTGGAGCTTTCCAAACCTTTAGTCACACAACTCTCAGCAACATTGTGCAGTCTAGGATGATGATATTTTAATGCAGTAAACACAATTTAAAAATTGTAAAAGTGGCTTTACTGCATTGCAGTGCAAATAAATAGTCAGACCACATGTAGAAAAAAACTGTTAAGCAATAAAACAAGTAAAACCAAAATTATATTCTGTATTTACAAAATGTAAACGACCTCCCTTAGCCTGCCTGCAGTACCTTCACTACCCACTAGGGAGCAGCAGCCCATACGTTGAGAATCACTGGATCATTACCATCCACTGAGGATGAACTATATGCTGTGGCTGTGAGGACACATTTCAGAAGTAAAAGGCATTACCTGTGTGAGGATTATATGAGCTATGATGAGAAAATGCTTTAGTTCTGTGATGCATGTATACAGCTCTCATGTTTTCCACATAATCTCCCTAAAAAAAAGAGAAGATATTCCAAAATCCAAGTGAAAAACAAAACCAAAAGTTTTCATTGCATTGATAAAACTGTAGGTGGATATGTGAGTGAATATGAATGTTTATACCGACCACTAATGTGCCTTTTATTGTTTAACATAAAGTGATTTTGTGAGAAGATTCAGTTATCTTTACCTTGACGGGCTTGCAGCCCTGCCACAGAGTCACCTGACTGAGCTCCCCTGAGTGAGAGGTGGCATGAGGCATCACACCTTTTCTTATCAGGCCATTCACCTTCACAAAGAAACAAACGTCAACAGGGACAGAGCAGGAAATCTTAGTGTCACTGGCTCTGTGTTCTTAACTGTTTTTAAACTCAGCTTCATACCTGCCATTTTTTCCTGAAACTTCCAGCAGGCTGCTCCTGGATGCTCTCTTTAAAAGTGTCCTCCTGAGGCAGTTCAGACTCTTGTAAGCATCATGTACTAATCAGTCTTGTTCAAAATCAGTTTAACTGCACTACTTGATGTGACATTCAGTCTTACCATATTTGTGATGTTGCTTTGCAGGGCATTTGTATCATTGTTCTCTCTCTCTGGTCGAAGTCTGTTCATGTCTTTATGACACTTCACCTGCCTCTTTTTGTCCTTCACTGCTGTCTGCTGCATAAAAGATCATAACATACTCCAGTACATCACTCTACCTTAGCATACAAAGCGGTGCACCACATTGTTCTGTCAGATTAATCCTATAAAACACCATGGCTCAAATGCATATCAAGTGAGCATTATGCTTAAAAATGTTTAAAATAGAAACAACATAATGTTCATTATACTTCAAATGCAAAATAAGAAATATGTATTGATGATCAAATAAAATAAGAGCCTTAACTAAGGGTTGTCACAATGTGATCTCATATTTGGATTACATCCTTAATCAATGTAGTGAAAGATGAAAGCTCTAAAGCACCAGATTGCACACGACTTTCGTCTGATTTGCCAACTAACAATGTTATACTTCTCTGACAAAACAAAACAAATCTACACTACTCTGGATTTAACAATGTATACAGAGTACACGTGGTTTGAAGGATGTGTACTGATATGCACATTTTTACAGCAGGGTTTTTTTTTACATTGAGAAGCTTGCTTGGAAGGTACTGCAAGCTCATTCATCATTTATATAATTTGGCTCTGATTTGGGTTCTTATACCATATTTGTGATGTTGCTTTGAAAGACCTTTGGCTGTGTGTTATTGTTCACTCTCTCCGGTCGCAGCCTGTTCCTCTCTTTATGACTCCTCAGGCGTTTCTTTTTCTTCTTCGTTGGGGGTTTCTGTGGAGAAAGGAAAGACTGATACAGGTGAAGACATGATTTAAAACTGAGCCCAGGGATCACGTGATCCAATTTAATGTTATCAATCAATAAAGTGATGATGTGTAAAAACGATTTCCTTCAGTTTTATTACCTCTGGGTTGGCAGTTTGTGGCTGGTTCATTAAATGAACTGGGGGCCCGTCAGAATCTGAACTATTTGAACCACTGGTACTGTAAGTGCAAACAAGAGACTTTAACAATCAAGAGCATTTTGTAATTCTTATCTTATTTTTCCAAAGAATGTTTTGCATGTGTACCTAAGATATATTTTTAAAGAAATGTCCATTCACCTGGTTTCTAGGTCAGAAACAGAGATGTTACAGTCAGAGCTTAAATCTTTGCCCAGCCTCTCCCTGACCTTCTTTCTCATCAGCACTCCCAGCTCTGACAGACAGTTAGTGACCTTGAATAAAATGGACAAAGCAACATAAAAAAAAAACAATCATAAACAGCTAAAACTCTATTACGAGTCAGAAAAAATCCTACTTAAAAAACATTGTCCAGGGCTCTGCATTTCATTTATACAGTATATGTTGTAATCAGACAGGCCGCTCTGTCTCTCACCTTTGTTGGATCAGGGTCACAGTAGTCCAGCAGGGTGTCACAAAAATAAAAGCCAAGGGACTTCAGGTCTCGAGTACTGAAATGTGTTCCCCTCCTGTCCCCTGACATTAACACCCGTGTTAGACCTTGTAGGAGAGACTTGCAAACTTTACACTCAGACACACATGTGGAAACTCACCCAGAGTGGAGCCTCCAAACGTGGCCTCCATAGTGTAGCTGTTTTTGATGCCAAGTTTCCACATGGCGATCCGCCCGGTTCCCTCTTTGTTTTTCTGTACTCGGAACTTACAGCTCTTAAATGAGAACTAAATAACGGAAGTGATTAAGACGTTAGGAATGAAATGTTGAAAATGAACATTAAGGAATAAACCCTTCCCCTGGAACATGGGGGGAATATTAAGTGTCCCACATATTGTTAATGAATAAATGAGCAGGGTGTCTAATATAATGGAGGCTTTAAGTGAACTATAACAGGTCTCTAAAAGCCAAAAAACTATTGAAAAAAACTGAACTTGTATGGTTCTTGTGTAGAGTTGGATACTCTATTTCACCTTGTTACTGGCGTTCTTGCTCATCATCAGTGGAAAAACTCTCTCGTGGAGCTTCATCCCAGCATCATCCCCTCGGCTGTTGCAGCCGTAGATGAAGACATTGTTTTTACGGTTGTGACCATGAAAGTCACAATAAAGGACAACATCCCTCTCAGCCGCCAGCCTGTGGAAGTAAGAGTTGGATACTCTATTTCACCTTGTTACTGGCGTTCTTGCTCATCATCAGTGGAAAAACTCTCTCGTGGAGCTTCATCCCAGCATCATCCCCTCGGCTGTTGCAGCCGTAGATGAAGACATTGTTTTTACGGTTGTGACCATGAAAGTCACAATAAAGGACAACATCCCTCTCAGCCGCCAGCCTGTGGAAGTAAACCATCACATCAAGATGTAGCAGAGAAATGGACAATAAGTAAATACAATAGGATCCATCTTACTACGTGTATTGTTCAGTCTTTAAAATCCTAATGTTCACTTACGTATAGCAGACATTTGTGTGGAAAAAAGGCATTTACTACACATTTACTCAGCTAACAGGGATATTTGTTTCATCTCTGTCTCTCTTGTTTGTCTCTGTTTTTACTGACAACTACAGAATAAAAGAAAGACTGACTTTCTGGGAAATGATACAAAGACGTTGACTTCCTATCAAGTGGAGGTCAGACATCTATCCATTCACCGATTTTCTAATCTACGTACACCCTCAAAAATAATACAGAAAAGAGTTATAAATGAATAAAATCTGATCTCTTGAATGATTGTTTATTTTCTGTTACATGAAATCTTACAATGAATACATTAAATATCATTTGTTATATATTACCTTTGGATTGAAAACAATTTCCTCAATAAAGAGACACATGTATGCCTGACTTCAATCAGCAGAAAAATAATCAAAATACTTAAAACGATAACTCGGCTATCGAAAACTGTACATAAATCATGAGGTGTTTTTGTATTTGAATGTGTTTTTCTGCCTCACCTTTCTACCATATTTCGTGTGTGCCACACTGAGGGAAAGGAATCTCTGAGCACTGTCTTGTACTGCCTGTTGAGGTCCCTTCCTGCCAGAGAGCAGCGATAGTTTCCCACCACAACCCCATCTGGGTTCAGCATTGGCACTACCTGCAGCATCATAAATCCAAACAAGATCCAAAGCAATTTAAAACATTTCAACACAACCTGATCTGAAATATAAGACAGTGAAAGATAGGAAAGATGTAATATACCATTAGTTTGAGCTCCCTCACCTTAAAAACAAAAGTGTCCCTGAGTAGCTGAGCGTCCTCTGAGTTCCCAAGCAGGAAGTCCAGAAACCCCTCCATCATCCAAGATGCGTTGGTTTCCCCAGGGTGCACTCTGGCTGTCACCACCACAGCCTTCCTGCTCCTGCCCTCCACCCTGCCGACGCCGGGGGATGTTATTGTCACCACGTACACTGGGTTTCCAGCCAGGCTGTTGCACAGCACACGCAGTTTACAGTAAGAGGCCACTGCTGGGTTGGAAGAGATGCATCTCAGGTAGCGATGCAGCCGTGAGTAGGTGTATGGATAGCAGTGAGCCAGGTAGCAGGTGTCTGAGTCATACGGGAACTGGAGGGTCCAGGTGAGCGAGTACAAGGTGATCGGGTCGCTGTTGGTGTCCTTTGAGTTCTAAATAGAGAGAGGGTTGTGCAATTTTATTAAGGGGAATTCCTTTTCTAAAATAAGGTAGTAGTTGAAGTCGTATCGTTCTGCTGTGCTTTTGAAATCCTGGTCATTTCACCTGTTTTACTTTAATTTCTGATAATCTTATTATTGTTGTCCAAAAACTTACTTGAAATTGTTTTCTTTGTTTATTTTTAGTACAAGGGATGTAAATGTTTTCCTTTTGTTTTTTTGCTAATAGATATAGGCACTTATTTTTCCAAACTAGTTTTCCTTCGGGTTCCATTCAACACTCAGTCTGATAAGTTCCTTAATACAGGAGGATTGATGATTAAAGGGGATCAGATGAAAGCTGATACAAAGTAGGTAATGGGCTCTTAATCCCAGTCAACTCATGTCAGACAGTTTAATTACCTGATTACAGTTTCGGTAGTATCTGATGTTAGAGCCGGTGCGTTGCCATCCAACACCTCTGTCCCTGGCAGCAGTCTCAGAGTAGAGGAGAGGTCTCATCCCCTGAGAGTACAGGCCACTGCTCTTCTTCAGGTTGATGATGGTGAAGCGGTACGTTACTCCAGCCTTCATGTTCCTCACCCTGAAGTAAAACCACTGCGTGTGCTTCAGGGTGTACATGTCTGTGTGCAGAGTCAGCTCATAATCATAGACTCCCCTGAGTAGTGGAGCAATAAGGGTAGACGCAGAGAGAGAGAGGGAGTAACTTCACCTGCAGCCACTGTAAAAACTAGCTGGATATTCTCAAAATGTCAAAAAAGCCGTAACAACAAACAGAAGGAACTGTAGAAACTTACACCTGCACAGCCTTCTGAAGGTTCCCACACTCGAAGCGTGACTCAAACTCCAGGATGAAGTCTGATTGACTGACATCATAAGAAGTTGCACTCTTAATCGGCCCCCTGCTTCCTCGGACACGGGAGCAGGTGAAATAGGGGCGCTTAGTGGCTTAAAAGAGTACAGAAAAAAAATTGTAATCGAGCACTTAAATTCACAGGTGAGTTTGTGATATCAATTTTCAAATCCACATCCTAAAGCATGAATTCAAACAGACAGTCTATTCTCCAAAAGACAGATTTGGTTTTAGGTAACTCAAAGTATGAAGTTCCAAAAATGATTCCTTTTTTTAGATGAATTTTGCACAATACCAAGATAACATTATGTTTTACAGAGTTATATCACGGATGTGACCTTGTAGTACAATAAATCAAATGGAATGCGGCATCACACAAACATTACCATGGTCAACGCAGTAAACCACTTTCCCTCTCTCCTCTCCTGCTTGCATGGGTGCCCTCTCATATCCTGAGGGCTGATAGAAAGGCTCTGGCTCTGGGGGGTTCCACTCTATAACACACAATCTCATGGTGTCATTGCATGTTCACAATAAAAGCACAAGGGAAGATAACATTTAAACAGTTTTTAAGTTGTTGATATTTTGCATCACCACCCTGTTTTTTGTTAACAAAAAACATTTAATACATTTTATCAACATGCCAAGTAACATAATGGGTTAACAGTATTTTTAATTACCGATGTGATTTATAATGTCACTGATGACCTCACACTCTATGGGCCAGCGGGGATGGAATACAGATGCAAAGTTAACCAGGTCCAACGGTGCAGTGAGACGCAGAATGGGTCGGCCACCATCAAAGTCTACGAGCAGCTGTGTGGTCCGCAGAGCTTGATTCAGGTTTACACATACTGAGAAGAGACATGAATCATACCTTGAACACCTGTTATTTCATGCTGCTGTTTTTTTCCAGTGGTGCACTATAAATACACAGTTTTCAGCCCCCTTACCTCACCCTGGTCAAAGAAGCTTGCCTATTCAAAAAGGGATTATGCTGCACCTAATTGTTCCAATTATCTCAACCACAATAGAGCTCTTGTTTAATATATAATGATCTAGCATTGGGAGGAACTGTTGACCAAATCTCCTTCCCTGCAGGAAACCCAAACCTGTACATGCCAGTTAGTAACAGGATTTCACCATGTACACCATGATATTCAAGTTCATACAGACCAAAATTCAATTCACAGTTTAGCCTCCATAAAGCTTCTTACAACATGTGTTGAATGTGTTAAATCAACATACACTGCCTCCTCCTGTCTTCCTCTCCCTCATCTTCTGTGATGAGATCATTGCTGTCGGATTTGTCCAACTGGTGGGTAATCCACCATTTCCTGATAGCTGAGACAGCCATGTTCGGTGTGTTCTCTGCCTGACTGAAAAGAACCGTATACCATCAGTGTATTGACCTCATTATCAAACTGAGTCAGAACTGTGTTGGCTTGGCCCCTCTAAAATACAAGCTTGTAATCAAGACACTGTAAAGTTTAAATATGCGATCATCATAAAGGTAGTATAATTGTGGTTGTATCAACTAACAAATATTTGAAATCTTATGTATGCAAGTTGGACAAAAAAAAGGCTTTTTTTAAACAATCAGTCAAACAACATAAATCCTATTTAGGAGGATGGATATGTTATGTTGCTGACCTGGGAGTAATTGGAAGTTACATACCTTTAACTTATCAACAATCGACCCAATGTTGGAGTAAGTTTTCTTGACATTTGTTCTCATTAATCCAAGACACATGTGGCATCCTGCGGGGAAAAATCACGGCAATTGTAAATAGCATTATTATTATTATTACTATTATTTCTTGGGCCTGTGTGTTATTCTCTCAGAGGCAGAAAATAACTTTGCTTCACAAAACTCACATGAAAGGTTCAGGGAGTTGAATTCCATCCGGCATCTTCTGCTGCCTTCCTGCAGCCGAAGTAGCTCTGTGCATGGGTTGAGCAGAATAAAAAGAGGACTACCACTTTCATGAATCCTGACAAAAGTGTTCCCGTGTAGTCAACAATCTCCTTAGCTTTGTGTTAAACTCACCGCCATGGATGGGCGCAACGAAGATGTTTACAATAAACTACTTATTATCAATGTCTGAAAGTCACTCACCTCTCCGACAATGAAAACGAGTCTCTTTCATATAAAAGTAGTTTCTATAAATTAGAGCAAAAAGACAACTTACCTGATACTACTTGTGGAAAAATCTCAATGTGCGTTGTTACCTAGCAACGTATAGCCTCACAAACACCGCGGTTCCCATGGTGAGTCTAACCAACAACAGTCTTTACGGCTCGTCGTAACACTGATGAGATGACGTTAAACACAGAAGAATCCTTTGTTTCATTCACTACTTTTTATATTATATAGTTTTTAAGGAGAGGAAAGTATAAGGAGATCATAGGATAAAAATCCTTCTCACACCACACGACTTATTGTTCTGTGTCGTTCATGTCATGGCCATCAGTTGAGCTGTGTTTCCATGATGCATTGCTGGATGAAGAACTACAAATGAAATACTCAGTTTATGGTGTACTGAGGGATTTCTGACAGTCATTATTGAACTGCGTTACGTTCATATAAATAATTAGTAATTGGAGTATTATAAGGTTTACTGAAACCAACCTCTTTCTGACTGACAGAAAGGGTCGAAACATTTCCACTTAACACTTTATTGGATTATACCTGAAACCCAAATCACATAACAAACACAGAATACAAAGAGATGGATTTGAAAAACTGTTTAATAACTTTTTACAAATATACAATTTCAGTGACTTCCCCCTCCCCTTTCCAAAAAATGGCTTGTCCCCTCATACATTTTATGTACACAATTGTAAAAAATGCTCAATAAAATAGATAACCCCTCCCAAAAAAGTGTGGTGGTCATCCTTACACAAGTATTTCAGACAAATTCAAGACTTTTGGCACATTTACAATAGTGACAACAAAAACAAGAAAAGGACATTGAAACCCTTTTAGTAAATGGGCTGCCACGAAAAGTTCCCTAAATTTCCTAATCATTTACACAGAAAACAGTTTAGTCCATAGTTCCTTGGATGAAACTTGAGCTGAGGAAGGATGGTAATGACTGGGAGTGGATTTTAAAAACTGCTTATTGGGCGATGTATGACCCAGGACAGAGGTTACGTGCTATTCGTCGTCTTACGCTTCTTCAGCCGCTGCCTCCAGTCATCAGGAAGTGCCTCAAAGTTTGCATTTTTTGAAGCTTTTCCGCTGTGAAGTGAAAATGGTAAAACTGTTAGGCAAGACTGAAAACTATGAAAGTACAAATGATGCTTATCACATAAATATAGGAACATACGTCATGAACTGCTGTTGCTTCCAGTCCTCAATGGTCTTCTTGTTAAGCTGGTCTCTGTCCTCGTCGCTTGAGCTGCTCTTTTCTTCTTCATCCAACTCTTTCTGGATGCTCTGCCACTTCTTCACCAGAGAAGGCATTTTGATCTTACTCTTCTTTGACTACAGACACACAGGGGGATAGAGTTTGTTTTATTTAAGCAACCAGATGTTAAGACAGCCTTACAAGTTAAGTGAAAAAAGACAATTAACACTGAACATTGCAGGTATTCAAACTGTTTTTTATATCTAATGCTCTCTTTTAACACGACATTTGAACTCCCACACTGACCTTATCCTTCTTGGTTTTCTTGGTTTTATCAGGGGGCAGAGCTTTGACTCCAGGAGGCTCACAAGGCGGCTGTGGTGGTGGCAGAGGTGGCTGAGGAGGCAGGGCGGGGAGAGGTGGAGCAGGAGGTTCACAGGGGACCACAGGGACAGTGGTGGCCGGCACACCCCAGTATGTGGCAGCTGACATGAGGGGAGCTGGAGAAAAGGACATGACTGTATGAGGTATATAAAAGAATGTATCTGGTAGTTTTCCAGTCACTTGTTTTGAGGTGTAGTTTGAACAGAGATTGGCCTCTAATCTTTTTATAGAGGATGTGTAATAATGCACTCATAACTAGTGATGTATGGTAATGTTGTTACCTGCACTGACAGCAGGCTGGGTGTAGAGAATGGGGCTGCTTCCAATAGTGATGGTTTTATTCAACTGACTGGCTTTACGTTTCTGACCCTTCCCCAATGAACCCGATGATTCCACAATCTGTGTTAGAGACAAGAAAGTTATCAGTGTACAGCAGATATTTCACATGCAGCATTTTAACACGCAACGCATTTAGTCTTCTACTTATCAAATGGAAAATCTCATGCCTTCATGCTAGCAGTGCCTGGGGGTAACGGAGGCCTCCCACTGCCGTCTTCCTCTGTCCCTGGGGCTGGGGGCTCCCCATCATTGTCATCATCCACATCCATCTCCACCTCCATGATCTCTCCATCACTGTCAGGTGGGGGAGGAGGTGGAGGTGGGGAGTCTGGGGGGAGAGGCGGAGGTGGCGGGTAATGGGAGGGTGGAGGTGGGCTGTCAGGAAGAGGAGGCTGAGATGGGGGCCAGAAAGATGAAGCACTGGGCTGGGGAGGGGCAGGCGGGGCAGGAGCGGTGTAACTCGACGGTGCTGTTTTTAAAGAAAGGTCGAGAACATTTTGCGTTAGTCAGGATTTAGTCAAATTCTAAATGTAAAAAAGGCAACGTTCATTACAAAGGGGCAAAAATGCTGAAGTTGTGTTTAAACCGATCACTAGCTTGTCCAAGATGATTAAATAAAGTGGACTGTGACTTGTGCTCAAAGGAGCTCCAACTCCCTACAGTGTTATTTGAAATCTTTGCTAATTGTAGCACTGTTTAAGCTCAGGTCATCTAATGGTGAACACTTTTATTTCCAAAAAATCCTTCACAATAAAAGCCCCTTCTTATCATGTTTCTCATGAAAGAGCCATTTCAGGAAATCGGTTGTTTTCAGCAGCAGCAACTTAACACAACTCTGCAGGAGAGAAACAAATATCTTTTTGGTCTTAAACACAGAAATGAGTTGAGTGTGTTGTCCTTGGGAAGTTAGTAGAAAGCAACTACAGGAGTAATAGACTGACCTGTAATTCCTCCAGGGGAGGCAGAGGATGTTTTGGTTTCCCCTTGGCTAGACGTCTGTGTCTGGGCTCCTTTCAGGTCATCATCCTTCTCCTCTTCTGTTGGGAAATCCCACTGGGAGGCATTGGTCCGGTTGTTCACATAGAAATATCGCCTGTGCTCTCTAAAGAGTGGGACAACAGAGATAAAAAGACAGAGTCTCAACAGCTGGCCTGGCAACTGGCTGCTTGACATGATACCCTGAGAGAGGGGCAAGGGAGTGGACATAATGGCCACAGTAAGGGGCAGGAGTGTTGGTATGGACGGCAAATATAGCCATCCAAGAGAAGGGCCTGATTAGAGTGTGGTCAGGGGAGTGGATAGGGAACCCACCTTACTCTCAATAACAAAGAAAGAAAAACAAAATCAGCTTTACGTCCTGAATGTAGCATTCAGCAGCTCACACCATGGTTGTCATATTTGTTCCTTTTTTTTTGACAACCATTCCCTCCCAGACACAGGAAGACGCCAGGGAGGAATCCTCATCATCATCAACATCATCAACATCAACATCATCATCATAATCAACCAACACAGGTCAGGTAATAACATCCATACAGAGTCAACTTGATTTACATGAGAAAGAGGAAAATAAAAAAACAGGAAGACATATGAAATAGAGTAGGTCTGACCTGCTGGATTCCCGTCATTCCTCCATCTTCACCGTTTATTTGTTGCGTGACACTCCTCACTTCCAGGGCATCACTCTGTCTGCATTGCATTCTGGGGGTTGAAGACCTGTAAAGTGCAAAGCTCTCCCACGCAACCAACCTTCCTAGTATAACACCCCCACCCACTTTATCCACTGACTGGACCCATAAACAGTCTACAAACGCCCTCACAGCAAAGGGCTATAGAGTCTGTGTTACAGGGACAGGCAGCTTTATTTAACAGGAAGCAGGCTGGCCCAGAGTGGATGCTCCCTTACCAGCACGTTCAAGGCAGAGTGCAGGGATTGCATCACAGAAACCTGGTGAGTCTGTTTCTGGTAAGTATTTAGATCCTCTTGCACTGGTTAAGCCTCTCCCCAAGTCATGTAACAAAGTCTGCACCCTCGGCACTGGTAGGGGTTGTAGTCACACGGTATGATATTTTTTGTGAGGGACGAGGGAGTTTAGAGATGTGAAAGGTAAGGAGCGCGTACCTGTCCCAGTGGCAGGACCAGCCTTTAGGGGCGGCGTTAAGTTCATAATGTTTTATGTGTTCAGCAGCTTCCTGCAGCCTGCGGCGAAGATAGACCCCGTTCAGAGCGCCTTCCCTCCAGTCAGCAATTCGAGTCTGGGGTAGAAAAGGAAGGGGGAGAGAGAGAGAGAGAGA